ATGGCGCGTCCTAGCGAGGTTTTTATTATTACTTTCCGACTTTTCAATGTTGTGTGCACCGTTCATGATAAACGCAAAAGAAAGACGAAATCTAATAAAGAAAAATAATTGCACACATTATAATTATTACAGACCGAATATTTCATTGAGCGATTGAAATAGCATCAAAAAGCGCCAGAGTATGTGCATAAACTCTCAGAACGCATCGTTAAGCGAACATCTCGGGGCAGGTTTCGTTGTCTTAATCTGCATCAACTTTTGGAGGTCGAAAACGATTAAAAACAGTATTAATTGTGATGATGCTCCTTTCGCCTCTTCTTTGGCATTTTATTTTAGTTGAAACCAAAAAGCTATTTAAAGCTCGGAACGAAATTTATTGCTCCGACACTCCAATCGAAAATGACACGCCGATACAACCTGGCAAATTACGCGTCCTAGCGGGGTTTTTATCGTAACTTCCCGACTTGTCAATGTTGTGCGCACTATTCATGATAAACGCAAAAGAAAGATCAAATCTAAAAAGAGAAAATAATTGCACTCATTATAATTATTACAGGCCAAATGTATCATTCAGTGATAGAAGTAGCATCAAAAGCGCCAGAGGACATACATAAACTCTCAGAACGCGTCGGAACGCATAATTCTATTTATGCACTCGGCTTTGAAGCACCATTGTGAACAAATGTTCGCTAGTTTTGATTAGTTACTTTTTGTAGTCACAAGGATCACAGCATGGAGCGTCCAATAGTTGAGGATGCATTAATTTTACAGCAACCTAAATTGGGTATAAAAATGTTATACCCTTAAAATCAAGACGCCTAACTCAATGACGGATGAATTCGCACATTTGCTGAGGAAACAAGAAAGGATGCGAAGTTATCTGATTGTTTTAGCAATTGAGCCAAAATTATACCACTGTTTGTGAATAAAACGATTTCTAATAGATAAAAGCTACTTAACTTAAATCAGATAGCTTTGTAGTATTCTTGACGATGCCGTGAGTATGATAATAACAAATGAAATTCGCATAGCCAATGGAAGCCATTTTCGTTTATTATGGCTCATTTCCGTTTCTGTTCAACTGCGATCGAACACCTCTGCATTTATCAGCATAAACTGATTAACAGTTTGTGAATGCATATGACCACATCTGGGTTGAAGGAAGGAAAGCATCACTGCTCAGCGAGTGATGCACACAATAAGTGCAGTCATAACAACTGCAAACCTCCAGACTGAATGAATCATACAGCGACGGAAATAGCATCACAACTGTTAGAGAGCATACACAAAACCTTAAAACGCATCGTTAAGCAAGTGTGCACTGTTCATGATAAACGCAAAAGAAAGACGAAATCTAATAGAGAAAAATAATTGCACACATTACAATTATACACAGACCGAATGTTTCATTAAGCGATTGAAATAGCATCAAAAAGCGCCAGAAGACATGCATAAACTTTCAGAACGCATCGTTAAGCGAACATGTCGGAGCAGGTTTCGTTATCTCAACCTGCATCTTTTGGAGGTCGAAAACGATTAAAAACAATATTAATTTTCATGATGCTCCTCTCGCCTCTTTTTTGGCTTTTTATTTTAGTTGAAACCAAAAAGTTATTTCAAACTCGGAATGAAATTTATTGCTCCGACGCTCCAAACGTAAAAAAGATAATATTTTAAACCTATTATCTGACAGTTGAGCAAGTTGATTGTCCTTTTTTGGTTGTTATCACAAATCTGTTAATTAGATATGCTAATCAGTGACAAACGTAGTATTACCGGGAGGCATTCACATTCCGACGAAACAATACGAATACAATTGCCTTATCTACTCCTCATCTTTAGACAAACATGATAGCTTTGATATTTTTAGAAAGAGATACAAGTGACTAAAAAAAGCATATCCTAGTAATAATTATCCCTTTCCCATCCCCCCATGTGTCCTTTTCTCACGCCACTTGTTTATGCAACCTTATATCCATTGGACAAAGAAAGATCTGGAAGAGTGTTTTCACCTAATCCCGTCAAGGGCGTAGCTAAAGGTAGGGGGTCCAGGGGTGCCCATGACCCCCCTTTTGTAAGCCTTTTTTGTTACATCAAGTAAAACAGGGCGTGGAATCCGACATGAAAGTTTGGCGATTACTCTCTGATTGACGAAGTGTGACCCTCTTTTCAAAAAATGCTGCTCCTCGATTATAATGTAAGCACTACTTTCTTAAAATAACAATACACTTCATTGCAAAATATGGAGTGATATATATCAGAATGACTGGTATGTTTCCATTTTCATCGCTGTCTTCGTTATTTTAAGGTGTGACTATTTGTAAATATAAATAATGCATTGAATAAACATTTGATTGCAGAGGATGCTATGTAATCCAGTGAAACAAAACACTACAAATTGCTCTCGAAACAAATTTAAAGCCCAAAAAGCCAAACTGTGGGAAAAATATCAGACATTAAAAAAAAAAAGGCTGCATCTCGTCTGGCCCTTTCTTTCCTTCATTCGCACGTCACAACTTTTTGTTCAAACGAGACTACAATGCTCGTTAAGGTATCGATCATTACCCTTTCAAGACTGATAAGAAACCTAGGAAGCGCTCCATGGCTGAGATGATGCTAAAATTCATGTAGGGAAAGTGTGGTCAGCGCCAGCAGGCAATCCGTTGGGTATTGCGTAGATTGTAAATGAGCCCGTTCGCGCCCACACGTGTTATTGTGGCGGTGTCTGTTTGAAATGTTTATTGATCTATTGTTTTGATTGCATTCTTTGTTCTTTGTCTTCCAGTTTATGATTAAGATTAAGATTAAGCTATTCAGTAATGCGATTTTTCAGGGAAGACGCAGCGTCACAGCGTGAAGCAGAAGCCGGACCTTTCTGGAAGCGTGTCTTCACAGTTTCGGCTTCTGCTTCCATGGTTACCTTGCTAACAACCTTTTGTTTACACTTCATCCCTTTCATTTCAGTTCCTTACTACGGGGAAAAAGGTAGGTACTGACAAGTTGCTGTATGATAACCTTACTTTTGTAGGCTCAAACGCCCTTTTAAATGGTGATTCTTTGGAACGAGCTCTATCAGATCCGTTTCGCGAATACCAATTCTCGTTTTACTATTCTACTATTCTAGTACTATTCTTGTTTTGACAGTGTATTTAACTCATTTTCAAAGAGTGCATTATCAATTGCCTCTTGGTTCTATTCCAACATTTTTTCAGATTCTACTTGCTAGATGATGTAATATGATGGACAATGTTTCCTTTTAAGAGTCATTATCAGATTAGCTTTGATTTTTCGCGAGCTTGCGAGTAAGCTTGTTTATTGACGATGAACATGTAATAGCTTTGGATCCCGAGTGAAATTTCATAAACATTTTCCCTCTTGAGCATGTACCTCCTCAAGTTCCGCCACTGACCGGATGAAACTGAGTTCAATGATACTAAGATCTCATAATTTAAGCGATGGGCTTAAGAAATCTTGGCTCATTTGATGAAAAAGTTTGCTTGTGTATATCAATTTGTGATTTAATCTTCTTAACATGCCATAAGAGATTTACAATTCATCTGGACCGAAACACTCTCGTCGCTTCAAATTTAATGTGACCTTTCGTTCAGTATTTTTTACTCAATTTCCTGGTAAAATTTACTTACGCATCTTTGAGTCGAGATCATAAACAAATATCCGTGAGTCCAACCGCAGATGCTGCTTATAATCGTCTTTAATTATGAGGGTGACAGTATTAAGTGTTCAAAAGCAATTGATGCAAAAGATGTAATCATTTCTAACCCAACTTTGATTTGAGTGAGAGAGTGTTACGGCGTTCCAAACCAGGCGCACCAGAAGATGCTATGTAATCCAGTGAAGCAAAACACTTCAAGTTGCTCTCGAAACAAATTTAGAGCCTAAAAAGCCAAACTGTGGAGAAAATATCAGACATAAAAAAAAAAGACTGCGTCTCGTCTGGCCCTTTCTTTCTTTCACCCTCACCTCACAACTTTTGTGTATATATTGACATATCATTAACATATCTGGTCACGCGAGAATTGGTCAAAACGAACTGACATTACAACTAACAGCTTTAAAATTTCGACGATTAAGTTATCCAGTGAGGCGATTTTTTAGGGAAGAGGCAGCGGATGACCGTTGTGGAAACGTGAATAAGAAAAAACTAAGAGCGATTAAGGAGGTGCCTTTACAGTTTAGGTTTCGAAACTGGTTGCCTTGCCAGCAACTTTTGTTTACACTTCTTCGTTCCCTCATTTCACTTCCTCACAACAGGGAGAAGGTGTTCGTTTCACGGTAAGTACTAGCAAGTTGCTGTATGATGATAAACTTAACCTAAGAAATCTTGGTTCATTTGATGAAAAAGTTTGCTCGCGTGTTTCAATTTTTTGATTTAATCTTCTTAACATGCCTCGGAGAATACCGCACAGCCTGACTCACAGATTTACAATTCATCTGGACCGAAACATGCTCGTTGCTTCAAATTTAATGTGGCCTCTCGTTCAGTTTTTTTGTACTCAATTTCCTAAAAAAATTTACTTACGAGTCGAGATCATAAACAAATATGCGTGAGTCCAACCTCAGATACTGCTTAAAAATAGTCTTTAATCATGAGGGTGACAGTATTGAGTGTTCAAAAGCAATTGATGCAAAAGATGCAGTCATTTCTAACCCAACTTTGATTTGAGTCAGAGAGTGTTACGGCGTTTCAAACCAAGCGCAAAGTATGCTAACGGCTGGTTTGCACATTTAATGGTTGACTATTTTTTCGCTCTCAGTTATCTAAGTGATTGGCAAAGAAAGCCCTCGCACACAATTAACTTCAAAAGCAAACTGTTCAGGCATTATGTTAAATAAAGGAATAAATTACCACCTGTGGAAGAAAATTATTCCTTTGCGGTTACACGGTGTTATTTATGGCCCGAGTAGGTATACACGATAATCGAGCGTGCGCTCATTAAGATATAAGAAGGAACCATTCTAATAGTTGGTATCTCTGATAGATGAGCTGTTTTGGAAGGCGTCAGAACGGGAACCGCGTAGGTAATAAAGAGGTATGTGTTCATAATTCTTTTCTTTCCTTAAGCAGGCTCGATATTTTTTCAGTATCTGCAGAATTTTGTATTCCACATCGATGAAAACAGACACAACCTACTCTTTTATTTGTTTTGGTTCTTTGTTTGCTTTATTTGTTTGTTTGTTTAATCATTACTTTTTCGAACCTTCTTTTTGCTTTTACGCTTCTGCGGGGCTGTTGTGTAAACAGATTTATTCTTGATTTTTTAGGTGTTTTTGAAACCCGCAAAAATCCAGAAAAATATCATTCATCAACTCTGGAGCCCTGTCAGCCAGAGCAATACTAGAAAGATCATAGTTAAGTGCTTTATTGATCATAAAATATGAAGAGATTTTATAAATTAGGTGCGTTTTATCTGCATAAGTACCTAAATCTTTTGCTTATTCCTTTTCAATCGCCAGATAAAATATTGTAATCCCAGAACCCAGAACATTCGCCTGGTTCTTCGAACAGATTTTTATGTTTAAATTGATGACAGATAATAAACTCTCTTTAATCCGTTCATTGTCCAAACGTTCTCATGGCATATTCACTTAGAAAAGGGAATAACGATAATAGCTCTTTTTATATGTATTCAAAGCAACATTAATGACAATTTTAATCCCAAAAAATTCGTTATTTGGGTAGTTCAGTCCTTTTTCTGCAACACTGTCAGCAAAGGTTTATTTTTGTTGTTGTTTCATCTGGTCTCTCAGTATGTTTTAATCTTTTGTTTTGATCATGGCACTCGTTTGAAGTAGAGCGTTCGCAGCAATGAAGAATGTTTCCGTCATCAAGCGTCTGACTCAGAAAAAAGAACATTGCATTTGGATTGAAATTCATCATGATTTCGAAAGAGAAGGAATACGTTTTTCCCTTAAGAGATAAGTTGACATGTTCTGGGTTGAGCCTGTAGAGGTGAGGGCGAAGTTATATTTCAGGAGGCGAACTATAAAAGGTTTAGACGGCGAACTTGCAAATAAGTCAGTTGCCCAAGGATTTTCAGGACACCTATGATAAAAAAGCTAAACGAGAAGAAAACCACTACTTGCTATTCCACATACATAACTGCTATACATAACTAGCTCATACTTTTCAATGGAGATCAAGTTAAGACTTCGCGAGGTTATCATGCTACAATGATATATTCATGTGACCTTTGCAGATCAAAGGGTGCCAGGCAATCCTTAAAGAGGCCACTTATAAACTGTGGAGCAAATTTAGCAACAAAGGAGATGGCATTATGGAGAGGAATTCCGACGATGGCACAGTGAGTTGCGACGGAAATAGGGATCAAAATAGTGATCATCAAAATAGTAAGTAGACGTTTATGCTATCATGCTTCATGTACCTGTAACATGCACGAAAACATTTGATGTAAAATGATTGTTAAAAACCGTACCAAGAATCTGGCTGAGTTTTACGCTAACGAGTGCCACAAGAGTGAAATCAGGTATGCTTTTGACTAACACGATGAAACGCTGGGCCCTTCTGATCAGTTCGCGTATTATTGTTTGCACAGAGCAAATGTCGATTGAACTCAATAACATATCGTTTTCGCTCCACGATGTATATCTGGAGCGAATTGATACATTTTCCTCTTTATTTTTCCCTAACTAAGTATCGATGCACTCCATGGGTGCCTCGTCTCATTATTTTTTCTTAATAATTTGTAGTTCCAATGCTGTAAGTTTATTAATTTTTCTTTTCTCGTTTAACAATTACTTAAATCTTTGTTGAAGCCTGAGGGTTAAAATTTGGTGTTATACGCATTCGCTGAACTTCCATCTAGGTTAAAAAGTCCGCCGAAAATTTTCACACATAGGCTTTGACTTTAAAATTTTCGTTTTCTTCCATTGTGATCATAGTGACTACTAGGGATAAAACACAAGGGACAAACGACCCACCTTGTTATGCCTTCCTATTCGACAAGAAATACGCAATAAAAGGAAATGGAGAAGGACAACCAATCACAACCGTGGTAAGGAACCACTTTAAGTCTAGGGTTTATTAATTCATTTGTTCATAAAACAAAACAAACAGAAGATTAACGTCAACAAAACATGAAAAACTGATGATGTATTGACGTAACGAGACGTACGTTGTAGCAAACAACTGGTTTTAGCAATTACAGTAACTAGACAGCTTGGTTGTCTCTGCAGAACTGAAACTTTCCACTAGATAACGCGTCTTTTAATTCTACTTTTTACGCGACAAGCGTTTCGATAATTACTGCGATTTAATAAATTGATAGTGTTTTACCGTGGTCTGTACTCTTATCGACAACGATATTCGTCATGACAGAGGTAGAAATGTCGTGGACTCACGGGTGCAACCGACTGAGTTTGTCACATATTGACCTCAGAGGAATAAAACCTCAGACCTTCGGATTCCGCGCTCCCATGCTCTACCAATAGAGTGGATTAGCAAGAGGACGGGAAGGTCATTTCAGAACGGTGCGCGCAGCAAAAACTGCCGATAAGAAACTGGGTCGAGAACGCCGTCGCGTTGTGTTGAAAAGTGACTCAGCATTCGTTGTAACGAGAATCTTCACCATCACCTTTGGTTTTTCGGTTTTATAGACTACTCCGAGGACAAAGAAATTATCTTCCTTTGAGAGTTATGTAACAAGCGCAAACAGAGGATATAGTTATAGATGCGGCAAGTAAGTTGTTAATATGAATACACATGGGCAATTAAACTTTGAAATTATTCCATTCCAGTTTAGTTTCGAGTCTGCTGACTCATCTATCAAATTTTGAAGCCCACTATATAGTTTTTCCATGATTTGTGTCCCTGTCATTTCGTTTCGTGTTACTAGATTTCAGCACTACTCGTTTCCTTCATAATTTTGTAAAGGATAATTTGTAAATCGTCGTCGTTTTTCCCCTTGTTTACTGAATATTCTTCTCAATTATGACAATACATCTCTTTGAGCGCCACCTTCTAGAGTTGGAATGCATTTTGAACGGAATTACCAGGGGTTATGGCAAAACCATGCAGAAACCAAGCGACCCAACGATGGAGTTGTTTACGATGAGAATGAAATTAACTCAAACTAGTCACCAACGAAACAGTTAGATTTAGGAATAAGTCTTTGTTCCTGTTTTATCATTTTTTGGGTTTTTGTTTAATTTAATTTTTTTTAACTAATGAAGTCGTTCAAGACTGAATCAAATTAATAGATTTAAAAAGCCGTGCCGAAATGAAGTTGATTGTCATTTTATTTCGTAGCGAGAGCATGACTTTCTTGTCTTAGTTTTCACCGGCGCTGACCAAAAATTTCAAACATAAAAAAGAGCAAACCCGAGCCATTCTCTATTTTTTTCATCTCTGAGTTCAATTCGCAGAAAAGTTGTCAATCACGGTAAAAACGACAATAACAACAAATAACACTGAATAATACAGCAGGTAAGCGTGGTGATGTTTCATTGAGATAAACTTCAACATGAAGCAAGTTTAATTGATTGATGAATTGATTCATGATAAAATTAACAGCATCCCCTTCTTAGAGTTTTCATACAGGATTAAAGAACTATATCAAAGAAAAGCCCTTTCGTCGTTTAAGCCTTGCTCAATTACAAGTGTACTGAGCCCTAAAATCTTGGATCCGGCGCTTGCTAACGATCGTGTTTCCTTTCGGGAATCTAGCATAAATGTAGCGGTAAATTTTCCCAAACACACCGAATAAAACAAAGGAAAGGACCAAGTTATCCTGGAAATGAGTTCTGATATAATTCCAAACAACATTATCTCGTTTATGAGTGCAAAATTTACGAAAATCCCAAGCGTTTTGATCGTGACGGGAAAACCAGCGTAATGACGTCTTGAACTTGTCGGAGAGAATTGCAACGCCAACACCGGAAGTCGAGGTAGAGTCGTGTCCAGACTATCCGCGCGCTTTCCCGTTCTGAAATGACGTTCCCGTCCTCTTGCTAAATCCCTCTAATAAGCCACAGAGACTGTACGGCGAGCGAAGTCTATTACGAAGGATCAGCAGCGTCATGTTTGTATATAGAATAAGAGAGATGGTAAGTTTTAAATAGAGAAAGATGTTTTTCGTCTTGTCATGAGCGTGGGACAAAGAAAACAATTCTGAGTCCGCATGAGGAATCAAACCTCAGACCTTCGGATTCCGCGCTACAACACTGTCGATTTGTTTTTTTGACCTCAATATCGACGTCAAAAACGCAAATTACAACCATTCTTTTAGTGTATGACCATTGCGCGATACATTGACGCTATCGCGAGCAAGCGTTGTCTGTAGCGTAATCGACAGCGGCAGATTGGCCTATCAGATCGCGAAATTGCTGCCAATTTCGGTTGAAATATAGTTTCAAACGGAATGCGTGCGTGCAAAATTAAACGCAACCATCGCACGCGTTAAATTTAACAATTAATTATGATGAGCCGAATGTTCACCGAAACCATTTCTAACTCAACGCTATTTTCAATTTGCAAGGAAATAGATGCGATTGATGACAATGTCAAGAGCGTAGTTTTTGAGCCCAAATACCACGGGGGCTCCACGATGCTCAAGCTTTTTGGCACCGATCTCTACGTGGGATGCGACCGCGATGGCCACACAACTCTGATGAAAAGTGTTGATCATACCAATCCGAGTCCTAAGGTTCTTTTCCACGCTGAACGAGTGCGTTCAAAAGACAAATAGTGAGTCATTGCTCTTTCTTCCTCGTGAATTACGCATTTATGTAGCTATTTCCAAGCAAGACATAGAGGCATACCTTGCGTAACAGATAGACAAATCTCACATTCAATTTGATCAAGAGCCACGGGTTGAACAGCTCATGTTTTCTTACTTTTATTACTTTTAGTTTTTAGGTCATTGTCTTCATGATAAATTTAGATTCTCATCAATTAGACACGTAAATATCCATAAAGGAGTTCTAGTTCTAAAAGCTAATTGAATATCATCCTCAATCTGTTATTATGGAACTACATAACGCACTCTTATCACATTTACGTCACATCGTATATAGCGTAATTGGTATTGTTACATCTGACCAGCGTATAAGACAGTCAGGATCATGTGAAGAAGATGAAGAAGACATTTATTTATTTAGAGTAGCCCCTTCGGATGCCTTAAACACTGCTATCAATTGGGGCCCTGATAAAAATTAAAATGATAAGAACTACACAATCATGCTAAAGACTACTTCTATAGGTTTACCCTAGGAAAAGTTGAGTTAATATTAAAATATGGGCTACATACAGTTACAGTAAAATGAATAAAATCTCAAAACATTAAAAATTTACCTTCTTGAAAATTACAGAACCATTATAATAAATCGGTCATTATGACATATCGGTCAGTTCACCTCTTGTTGTCTCATCCTCAGGTCAGTCTTACGTTTAACTTATTAATTTCATATAAACTACTTGTGATCAGGTTCCCCAACTTGGAACGATAAACCCGCTCGGGTTTCCCTCGCTCTCGACATGTGACTTCCTCGCTAAGATTGTAATGACGCCCAACTAGTATCTAGGAAATACGGACTGAAGTCCAATCTAAACTTAAGGTTTATTCAGATTTATTCGCATTCCAGTTATCACATAAAGATCCAACCTTTTCTCATTGTAAATTGCTCTTATAACCTCCAGTCCGATAATGATGAGTTGAAAACAACATTTTCAAGGCTTCATAAAAGATTTTTTTCTAAATTAAAATTGTCTCTGAACACAGAGAACACGACTGCCCACTGCTATACAGAGCTTAGAATGAATAAAAAAGCTTTTAGCTTATAATAATAATAATTTACCAATTTATATAGCGCGTATTTACATGTGCTTATCAATAGCGCTTTACAATCATATGTTTAAAAGAAAACGAAAATACATTACCGTGAGAATAAAATAAACTAAGTTACAAACTATAAAAAATACTTCTTAAAAAGATAGGTTTTAAGTCGAGATTTAAAACTGTTAAGTGATGTTGCTTGACGAAGCTCCACAGGTAGCTCATTCCGGAGTTTCGGAGCTGCTGCTGAGAATGATCTTGCTCCCAATGTTGTAAGCATCTTTCCCTTGGGATGGTCCAATAAGAGCTTACCAGTAGACCTAAGATTATATAATGAATTCGATTTTATACTAATAAGATCGCTAAGATAAGTTGGCGCTAGGCCATAAATACATTTGAAAGTCAAAAGTAAAATCTTATAGTCAATACGCAAAGAAACTGGCAGCCAGTGCAGCTCATAAAGCGCCGGTGTAATGTGAGAAAACTTTCCAAAGCCAAGAATAAGTCTTGCTGCTGCATTTTGTACACGCTGTAATTTAGCGATCTGCACATTTGGTAAGCCAAACAATAAACCATTACAATAGTCAAGACGGCTGGTTATAAAAAGCATGAGCCAAAGTAATTAAAGAATCTCTCGACAGGTATTTCTTAATACGTCTCAAGTTATGTAAATGATAAAATGCCGCATTACAAGCCTTGTTTATATGATCAGTCATGCTTAAGTTGCTGTCAAACCAGGATCCAAGATTTCTAACACATGGGCTTGGACTGATACGATTATTGCCCACAGTTATCGAACACGAATCTAATTTATCAAGCTGTTGTCGTGTGCCGACTAACAAAAACTCCGTTTTATCATCATTGATCATCAACCGATCTTGAATCATCCATTTCCTCACCGCGTCAATGCACTTTTCCATAGCTTGTATAGCATCAGCTTGAGCAGTGTTGCCGAGTGGTTTAAAACTCAGATACAGCTGCGTATCATCAGCGAAACAGTGAGCATCAGGAAGATAATGTTCCACGATCTTAAACAACTTGGACGCATATATTATGAATAGCAAAGGCCCTAAACATGAGCCTTGGGGTACCCCGCAGTTCAAGTCAAACGGACGAGAAAGAACTCCATGTACAGAAACGCGCTGACTTCTATCAGACAAGTACGATCTAAACCAATTCAGAGCAGTCCCACGTATGCCAACCTCGTCAGATAGCCTCTCTAAAAGTATTCGATGATCAACAGTGTCAAAGGCAGCACTGAGATCCAATAAAATTAACATAGTGACATGCTGAGAGTTCATCTTAAACAAAATATCGTTCATCACCTTGATAAGTGCAGTTTCAGTGCTATGGAATTGCCTGTAAGAAGATTGAAGCTTAGGAAAAATAGCATTGGAAACCATGTGATCGTAAACTTGATTAAAAACGACTTTTTCAGTCAACTTGGATACGTATTGTAAGTTACTAACTGGTCTGTAATTTTTGTACAGCAAATCCAATCCAGGTTTCTTCAAGATAGGATTAATAAGCCCACATTTCCAATCATCCGCAAATTCTCCAGAATTAAGAGACAGGTTGATCATTTTAGTAATGACTGGTAATAGCACATCAGCACGGCTGATAACCATAGATGTTGACATCGGATCAAACATACATCTTTTCTTCGGAGAGCAGCCAATCAACTTACTAACAGCACTTTCAGTTAAAGGGATAAAGCTGTCCAGTGTTCTAGTTGGTAGCGTTTTCACATAGTCAAAATGAGAATCATGCAAACAATCGGCTAGTCTGTCCAGTTTGACATGGATGGCGTCAATCTTTTCAACAAAGAAGCTACCCATTTCATTGGCTAAAACCAGCTTGTCACTAGTTGGTGGAAAAGGTACTTCATGACCTTGATTTAGCAACCTCTTTGTTGCCGAGAATAGGTTCCTTTGATTGGAGTTATTTTCAACAATAAAGTCTGAGTAAAACTTACGACGGGCTCCATTCATCAGGTAGGTTGTAAAGTTCCTCTTCTTTTTAAATTCAAGCAAATCATTGACACTTCGAGATCGACGCCATTTTCTTTCAGCTCTCCATCTTTCCCTCCTTGAATCCCTAATATCTTCACTAAACCAAGGTACCAAAGGCCTCACTGTGATAAACTTAGTGACAAGTGGAGCATGACGATCAAGAGCCGCAGATAATGTAGAATTATAACATTTAACAAGATCATTCAGAGCATCAGGGCTGTCTGTACAAAGCGAAGTTGTAGAGAGTTCATCGCATAACAGGTTAACGTCAACCACCTTTGTCTTCCTGAAAGAGATTTTTTTCTTCGGGAGCGGAGGCCTGTCCAGGGTTAGATCACAAATCAAAGTAGAGTGATCAGAAAACAGACAGTCACTCACAGGGATGTTAGCTAATAAGGAGTCGCATTGTCGAGTAATGATCAAATCCAAGGTGTGTCCTGACTCGTGTGTTGGCACGTTAACATTTTGTTCAAGGCCCATTGACTCAAGCAGCTCCTTTAAACAAACACTGTCTGCATTCCCCGGAACGTCTACATGGATATTAAAATCACCTGCTATCAGTAACGGTACAGATGACATTATGATATTCTCCAAAAGACTCGAAAAATCAGCAAAAAATGCATTCGTCGTGACAGGATGGTTACTAGAGTAGGGTGGACGGTAAATAATAACAATCTGAAGTCTTCGCGACTGGAACTCGACCATCCAATGAGAAAACTCAAAAGAAGTACGCTCACCAGCATCTACACGACTTGCATGTAGATTTTCTCTTATCAGTAGGGCAGTTCCACCACCACATCGATCAGATCGTGTGTGATCAAACAGCTTGTACCCGGGTGGGGTAATTTCGGGTCTGCACGCATCATCAATTTCTGAGAGCCATGTCTCAGTTACTGCGAAAATATCAGCTCCAGATGATTCAACATAGGAAACCAAGTCCGCCGATTTGTTTCTCACAGACCTGGCATTCAAACTACAGAATTTTAATGACTAAAATATGCGCCAGGAAAAACCTTGAGAGCTTCTTGGCAAGGCCCATGATGGTGGCAATCGATTGGATCCCAAGTAGAAAGAATTTCAGAACAAATAAGCAAGAAATAAAACACTAAAATCAGAGCTCTGAAACTCGTGGCCGCCATGTTCGGCGCCGCTGACCATTTTCTTGAAACTTGAACATAACGTTTTTCGAGTCATTTGTTTGCTTTGTCATGCTTATATACTTTCATTTATCGTATTCTAATTAAAAGAGATTGATATTAAAAATAGAAATGAAAGACACCTAGGCATTAGTGTTCTATATTAATGGAAAACACTGGTTTCGGCACTTTTTGCAGTTATGAGGGTAAGAAGCCTCTAAATGTCTCAAAAACTTGGGACATTTCTTATGTCATGATAAGATACATGTTCATTTGCAACACTTTCCCAAACGTACGTGACCACATTACATTATTTTTTCATAAAATCCGAAACCAAAATATATAGATTTGGTCGAGCGTGAAAGCTTTGCTTCAGTTGGTTAATGCTAATACCCTCAGAACCCCTGGCCATCTGTTGAGAGATTTGATTACTGCAGTTTAAGGGCCGGGACATTGGCATATGTAATATTCTAAGGAAGACATGTTTGAAAATAACTGCTTTAAAAGCAAAGAAAGGAAGAAAAGCTTTTCTATGTACCCCTAAGACTTAAAGGGTAGGAGGAAGGTACTTTACATCAATGAATGACCATAATCCATTCAAAAATGGATTATGGTTTGATTTTTACCCTTTCCAGAAACTTCTTGAGACAAAATGTTGCAAATACATACATTTAAAACGATCAAAAATCCTGCACCTTCAAATGAAATATACCAAATACCATAATAAAAAAGTCTCAGCCAATAACAAAAATTGTTTGCCGTTTACTCACAATTTGTTGTACCACAAGATGAAGGTTTCAGCGTGGCTTTGCCGTCTAAGGTAAGTGAAAGTCCCCCCCCCTTCCATATCAATTAATGACGTGACTTTGCAAGCGGCTTTAAAGTGAAATTTCGCTATTCTAGAAGTTAAAACTGACTTAACCATGTAAAAAGAGGACAAAAGACTCAAGATAAAAACCTTGTATTAATATCCATATCTGCGCAAGTGTGCACCCACCCATCCCCCAAACCAACAGCAGTCAACTGATAACAAATTAGGCTAAATGTTGGGTTAGAGGAGGAGTAGGTGTACAGTAGCTGATCAGAAACTGAGACAGATCCAAAACCTCTAAACACGTGACTCTTAAACTAATGACAGAAATACTAATCAGTTTTATATATAAGCTTTAAATCGGCTGAAGATATGCACGAAAAGAAAAACATTTTTTTTTCTGTATCATTATGTTCAGAATACTCCAAATATAAGCTCTAACACAAATTTAATTACCGTCATTACTAACCCTCATCATCCCACAAGCAGAAACGAGCCTATCTTGTACATCCTTTCCCTTCCCCCAAGTCTTCGTTTAGTGTGGTAAGCTCGAGAGTAAGAAGGGGAACTAAAGAATAATTCTGTTTATGCACTCGGCTTTGAGGCGCCACGGAAAACAAATGTTCGTTAGTCCAAACGCAGATGATGATTAGTTAAAGTTTGTGGTCACAAGGGACACACAGCATAGAGTATTTTGCAGTTGAGGATGCAATGATTTGTATCGAAACCTAAATCGGATGTAAAAATGTCATAACCTTCAAATTCAGGCGCCTAATGCATTGACGGCGACCTCGTACATCCGCTGAGGAAATAAAAAAGGATGCGAAGTTATTTGATTGTTCTAGCGCTCGAGCCAACATTATGCTGCTGTTTGCAAATATGACGATTCTTGATAGATAAAAGCTACTTTACTTAAGTCAGAAAGCTTTGTAGCATTCTTGATAATGCTGTGAGTATGATCATAACAAATGAATTCACATAGCCGATGGAAGCCATTTACGTTTCTCATGGCTCATTTCCGTTGCTATTCAACTGCGAAGGAAAAACACTGCATTTGTCCGCACATAGTGATTAATGGTTTGTGAATACATAGGATTACATCTGGGTTGAAGGAAGGAAAGTGTCAATCCTCAACGAGTGATGCACACAATATTTGCAGTATGATGACTACCAAAACTCCAGACAGAATGAATCATTCAGCGATAGAAAGAGCATTAAAATTTTAGAGAGCATGTACAAAACCTCTTAACGCATCGTTAAGCAGACATGTCGGGGCATGTTTCATTATCCAAGGCCTGAAGTTTTGGAAGATATAACCTGCAGATCGAAAACGACTAATAAGGAATAGTATAAATCATGATGATCCTCCTCCCAACTCTTCTTTGGCGGTTGTTTCAGTTGAGGTCTCAAAATGTTTCAAAACTGTAAAAAAGAGTCATCACTCCGATGATCCAGCTCAAGAGAAGTTAATTCTACAAAACATACTTCCTTATTGGAACCCCTTGAACCCTCTTTGGAAGTCTAGCTAATATTTAACAACCAGGAGCATCGTTTGTCGTATCGTGGTTCTCATCACAAATTTATTAAGACTCTTCAGTGCTGTGTGGACGGCAATACATAACAAAATGTATTGCAAACCGAGGAACAAACTTTCGAGTCATAAAAAAACAAATATGGACAAAATGAATACTTTGGTGATGGAAATAGGATCAAAAGCGCCAGGGGGCAGAAACAAAGTCAAGAGCAGATTTAAATGATAGAAACATTTGTCATTTTTGGCAGCATGACTTTCAAAAATAATTCACATACAATTTTTTTCCTCTAACTACATAAACAACCACAAGTTATTAAGCTTTAATGCATAAAGAGCATTTTAAGGAAGCATTTCACCAAGCTACCATATCTGATATGTTTTCTCCTTGTTTAATTAAACTCAGTTGTCCAAACTTAAACATAAAACCAATGATAAGCTATTGCAATGATCTAGTAGAATATTTTCAAGTCTCAAACTGAATTCGGCATCATTCGAATTCCAACACCGCTTCTGTTGGACGGCTCAGAAGAAACGTTGCAAAAGAAAGAAGAATTTAAATTGTCTTAATGTGATTATTGATACAATTTCCCAATTTCCAATGCATTATAAACTTGCTTACACATACAACATACTTTAATCATTTTCAACATCATTCGAAGTCATTCCCACTCTCATGTGACCGCTTTTAAAACGACACGCTAAGATAACCTGGCAAATGACGCGTCCTAGTGAGGTTTTTTATCATATCTTTCCGACTTTTCAATGTTGTGTGCCCTGTTTATGATAAACGCAAAAGAAAGACGAAATCTAATTGAGACAAATAATTGCATACATTTCAATTACTACACTATGCACCAGACACAGCCAACGGAGGATTTGGTCTGGTATGGACAATCTTCCACCTGTAATTAAAAAAATATATATATATACTGTAACTTTGTAATTGTGGTTTGACTTTGAGTTAGGGAAAATTGGTTTTAACTATGAAAGTAATTAAATATAGAAAATTTGATGGTGTTTTTATCTTATTATAGACACCTACCACTTCTGAATTGTATATGCTGCAACATGTTGTTGTGCATAATGCTCAAAGTCAGTCCTAATCTGTTCAGGGCAGTCATTTATTCTCTCCTTCAAGTTTCGGTATGATCAAGACAACAGCATAAGAATTGTGTCAGGCTTGTGAAGGCCACCATCTCGTGTTGAATGCTGGAAGCAAAGAGAAAGATTTTGTCAAGAATATGATAGTAAGGAACTAGACCCTACACTTGTCAATACAAGCAGTCATTTGTAAATGTTGGTTTTACATACCTGATAATAAAAACAAATATGCATGTAATGAGTCCGTTCTCCACCCTCAGTTGCTACACGCATGAGTGACTTGAATGGGGTGCTGCAGAGATGTTTTGGGACAACATCCACAAATTTCATCATATAGGGAGTTACTTCTTTGTAGCCATAACGGAAGATCATCAAAGCATGGAACATATTGGCATGGTAAACATATCTGGAAATTTCAGAGTCGTGTAATCCAAATTCATAGTCTTGAACATTTGTTGAACTACTTGGATGCCCTGGCTTTAGTTGAGCTGTATCTTTCCTCAGTATCCTATACATCTGATAGAAATGCCACCAAATAAACTTCACACAGTTAATGTCGTTAATCTTTTGTGATGTCATTCCAAGGGCCTCAGCGAGCTTTGGGGACAACATCTGCTGTAGTTCACAACTTGGAAGAACCTATGAATATAATACAGGAGCTTCATCACTGAGAGATATAATTGGAAAACTATTTTAAGTAATCACTAAGGGTATACATGTACATGTACAGCATGTGTTTTGTAGTAATTATGTTACTTGTTATAACTGCATAACTTAACTGGTCAGGTTTGATGATTCAAGTAAACACCAGAACTTACATTATCCAAGATGTGATTGTAATGTTTGTCTTTGAAGTCCTCTGAGGGAGCTAGGATGGTGTAGGCTTGGGACTTATTGAGGCTGAGGTCACCTAGGTGACCTTTTGGATCAATTGCAAGTTCAAAATGACCTCCTCTGACATCGCTTGCATTTATGTTAGCAGTAAGATGTGCCAATGCAGCATTCCTTCGCTCTCTACCATACCTATAGAAAAAGGTGACAATAATAATTTTCAATATTTAAAAGCAGGGACATGTGAGACAACACAGCGTATACAAATGAACATGATCTACAGTCGATCGAAAATTTTTTAAGGTTTCAATCATGAACGCAGACTACCCAAACAGCACATGTTAACTAATATACCAACCTTGACTCCAGATCAAGACATGTCCGGACAACCTTCATTATTAGATTTTCTGCAACTCTGGTGAAGCCATGGTCAATACACATAAGGATATGATCACCAGTAAGAGCAGGAAGCAGGGACTTGGGAAGAGGACGGTCAAATGAAAGGTTAAGGTCTGTTCTTAGTCCTGTGGATGGATCTACTTTTTCCTTTTCTGATGCTTAGCATTGCATCCATAGGTTCCACTTGTCTTGGGAGAGTGGGCTGAGCTCTGGATCAGCAACAGCATCCAAGAACTTAGAGTCTGCACCAAGGAACACCTAGTGGCCCAGGTTCTGACTGTCTTTAATCCATTCATTTAAGTATCCTACAATATTAATGGACAAATGATCTATAATAACACTAATTATCCTTAGAGATGTTGCAATTCCTCTTGTACCATTTAAGAGAGTTCAAGCACCACAAAAAGTTACAAAACTGAAATCAATTTTGTTGAACCATGTTATTTTTCTTGAATTGTTCAAATGATCAGCTTATGAGTATTTCATTTCAATTTTAGGAAAATTTAACGTTGATTTGGTCAATTTATCAAAAGTTAATATTGGATTATAAATGTTTAACATGTAAGTGTGCATATACCTGGTCCACCATGACCATCTCAATGTTAAGCTCAAGGTTTCGACGGCTGTCCTTGTGATGAAAAATATGAATAGGCCACATTTCTTTCGGGCTTTGGAATTTTATTCCATTTAACTTCTGCTCATTGTTTACATTGCTAATAGCGATCATAACAGTGTCCTTCTTGCCATACTTTCTGCCATCACCATAAAGGTGCCACCACTGTTCTTTAGGAAGCCAATAGTAAAGGTAATGCAGACATTCGACCAAACGGGCTGGCTCAATGCGATAACCAGTTGCTGTTCTTTGTGGTTGCATTATAGCCTCAAATTCTAATTTGTATTTGGTCTTTAGCTCAGCAACCTAAGGAAAAAAAGGTTTGCAAATGTTATAAACAAATTTTATTTTATTATTAACTTGAAGTATATCAGGAAAGAAACATATAAATGCAAGACAATTACCTTTCTTTTGGTTGCAAGATATCCAGGTGGCAATATCTTCCTGATCTCATCAATTGTCTGTCCAGAATTGCATTGATCTTGAAGTTTCAAGATTGCAGATGGTGGGATTTGCACTGTTGCCTGCTCTTCTCCAATCTGATTGTAAAGACTGTCCCCAGTCTTTGTACGAATTAGCTTAGTCAACAAGATAATATCTTGTTTTTACAGTTGTCCTTGCCAGGCTGAGTCAATACTGCACTGCTGTCTAAATCTCCGGCCCACTGATAATGAAATGCCATGCAGGAGGTCAATCTGTAATAAGAATATGCCAAAATTGTATTCCATCAACAATCTGGTCCTGTTTATTTTCTAAATTTTAATTTGTTCTTGACTTACTGACAACAATTTCAGAGAAACATCAAATGTTATTTTTCAAAGTCAGGCACATTGGTAGAACATTCAAACATACTTTGATGACTACATCGATAAAACTCCCTACAAACCTTAGAACCATAATGAACTTCCAGTGCCAAGTGACTCAATATTTTGCTCTGCTTTTTTATCCTCTCCTCCAGTTTAGTAGATCGGGATGTTTGTCCATTTGCTAAACGTCCAGCCAGAGTTGATGTTGACTCTGGGGGCTTAATGCAGCCAGTGAACACTTTTAGCTGTGGTACATTAGTGCAACTGCCTTGTGTGCAAAAGGTTTCTGTTGCCAGCATCACATTTTGTGTTTTGCTTGTAGTCACAGATCCAGCTCCACTTCCAGCAGCAATTTCTCTTGAAAAAGTGGAATTTACCACAGTTCGGGCAAAGAACAAACATAGACTAGCCCATGAAAATTGTTCTGCACTTTGGCCAGGGTCTCTAAGTTTGTTCCCAGCAATTACAATCAAAATAAGGGCTTCAGCTGAAATAAAACTCCTGGAGTTTCTGTCCAGATAAATATCATTGTCTGTCAGCCCGTATTGTTTAAGCATTTCTTCTATTTGTTTATATGCTCCTTTTTGCACTGTTTCTCATTAAAATAGCCAAAAGGACTAAGTCCCTTACGAGCATCCAGAAATATTTTTGAATCAACTGTTTTAACTGGAGAAGACATGGGCCAACCAAAATCTGTGGTGTTCATTGCGTGGAAGTATTTCTGGAAATAAATGTGGGAAAAAAAATTACCAAAAAGCTTCAAAATATCTTTGATGGAAACACAACTAGGGAGAATAAAGAAACTTACCAGCTTTTCAGCAACTTTACTTCTTAAGATTTACGTCCAGTAAACGTAAAAGCAATGTCGTATTTGGAGTATAAGTTAAGGGAAAGCTAATTTGGAAAATGCGAGGTCTTCAAATTATCAGAACTAAACTAACAGAATAATGTATGGAAAACCAAAAGCAAAACTACAAACCATCGGCAGTCCGAATGATTATTTACATTAGGTTAAAATGACACAATCCGATGGTGCGATCACATTTAGCGATCTCTCTTCGAGGAAAGCAATTTCGTTTATGTTCGTAGTAAACATTTATGGTCGAAAAAATTTAAAATCAAAAACATTCACTCACCTTGATAGAGCTTCAACGTGGACAGGATTGCTCGCGATCGCGTGGTTAGTATAAGCTTACGGATGAACACTTCACGCTCTTTTGATATGCAAACGCGGCCCTCGCTCTTTACCGACAAAAAGAGCATTTCGTCATTTTGAAACAATGCTAATTGCTCCAATTGTATCTCCATTGTCTCTAAACGGACGTCTGGCCATTTCTTTCTTTCAACCTCACCTCACAACTTTTGTGTATATATTGACATATCATTAACATATCTGGTCACGCGAGAATTGGTCAAAACGAACTGACATTACAACTAACAGCTTTAAAATTTCGACGATTAAGTTATCCAGTGAGGCGATTTTTAGGGAAGAGGCAGCGGATGACCGATGTGGAAACGTGAATAAGAAAAAACTAAGAGCGATTAAGGAGGTGCCTTTACAGTTTAGGTTTCGAAACTGGTTGCCTTGCCAGCAACTTTTGTTTACTATTCGTCATTCCCTCATTTCACTTCCTCACAACAGGGAGAAGGTGTTCGTTTCACGGTAAGTACTAGCAAGTTGCTGTATGATGGTAAACTTAACCTAAGAAATCTTGGTTCATTTGATGAAAAAGTTTGCTCGTGTGTTTCAATTTTTTGATTTAATCTTCTTAACATGCCTCGGAGAATACCGTACAGCCTGACTCACAGATTTACAATTCATCTGGATCGAAACACGCTCGTCGCTTCAAATTTAATGTGGCCTTTCGTTCAGTTTTTTTACTCAATTTCCTAAAAAAATTTACTTACGGGTCGAGATCATAAACAAATATGCGTGAGTCCAACCTCAGATGCTGCTTAAAAATAGTCTTTAATTATGAGGGTGATCAATTCGTTCCTTTTACCCGATACTCTAGCTCCTCTGCAGCTCAGCCAACGCTTCAATATTGCTACATTGCAATTTTCAGGGGGTTTGGGAAGCTCTGCGCCGGGAATATCTTGTTCTGTAAGCATTATTGTCATGTCACCTTCCTTCTCCTTTGACGCCATCTTGAAACACGTCCCCTAAACCCGCCCCAGCATGCTTTGCGCCTACCAACTCGACCCACTCCCCCGCTCAACGTAAAAATGGCGAATTGAGTGTTCAAAAGCAATTGATGCAAAAGATGCAGTCATTTCTAACCCAACTTTGATTTGAGTCAGAGAGTGTTACGGCGTTCCAAACCAGGCGCAAAGTATGCTAACGGCTGGTTTGCACATTTAATGGTTGACTATTTTTTCGCTCTCAGTTATCTACGTGCTTGGCAAAGAAAGCCCTCGCACACAATTAACTTCAAAAGCAAACTTTTCAGGCAATATGTTAAATAAAGGAATAAATTACCACCTGTGGAAGAAAATTATTCCTTTGCGGTTACACGGTGTTATTTATGGCCCGAGTAGGTATACACGATAATCGAGCGTGCGCTCATGAAGATATAAGAAGGAACCATTCTAATAGTTGGTATCTCTGATAGATGAACTGTTTTCGAAGGCGTGACAGGAACCGCGTAGGTAATGCAGAGGTATGTGTTCTTAATTCTTTTCTTTCCTTAAGCAGGCTCGATATTTTTCAGTATCTGCAGAATTTTGTATTCCACATCGATGAAAACAGACACAACCTACTCTTTTATTTGTTTTGGTTCTTTGTTTGCTTTATTTGTTTGTTTGTTTAATCATTACTTTTTCGAACCTTCTTTTTGCTTTTACGCTTCTGCGGAGCTGTTGTGTAAACAAATTTATTCTTGATTTTTTAGGTGTTTTTGAAACCCACAAAAATCCAGAAAAATATCATTCATTAACTCTGGAGCCCTGTCAGCCAGAGCAATACTGGGCTTTTAGAGAGGGTTCCAAACAATGACAAAGTAGCCTGCGGTGGAAGTTTTAGCAGGGAGGGGGGGGAAGGGGGTAGTAAATAATTCTGTTTATTTAAAGAGTAACATGAGCCGCAATTCAGGCCAGAAGTCCATGACACAAAAAAGCGTAGCAATGTTACTATATGCATCTTTGACATTTCTTGCCACATCCCTCTTATCTGATGATAACCATATTAATTGATATTTACTCCAGAAATACCAAATGCCAAAGAAATACTAATTTTGGGGGTTTTGAGAAACCTTGTCTAGAGTTTTGCATATTTAGCTTGAAAATGGTCATTGTGATACTCAGAGCTCTCTTCTAGGGGGATAAATATGATGGGCATGTGCAATAGCATTGACGGCAATCATTCAAATAATTAAGTTATGTTGTGTTTTGTTGTGTTCAGTTCGGCTCTGTTAAGTTTTTTTGAGTTGTAATGTTGTTTTGCAGTGTTGTATAGTGTCGTGTTGAGTCGAGCTGAGTTAATTTGTTATATTCCTACTGTCGTGTTGTTGTGTTCAGCTGTGTTGTTTTCTTTCGTATAGTGTTGATTTTCTGTTCTGTTTTGTTGCTACATTTTATTGAATTTTTTTAGTAGCATCAATCTCTTATTTCCACCCCCCTCCCCCTCACAAAAGACAAAGTCTCTCGCAAACATCAATAAATTATCACGTTCAGTGGAAAATTGTAAAATTTATTATTTAAAATAAAACAGCCAAGTGCTCCTTCCAGCACATCATTTACAAGGAATGCTGATCCGCCTCAGGTTATCCCTTTCATTTCGTGGTTCTCTGAAAGGAAAGAAGAACCTGGAGAGTTTACTATAAGAATATAAGAAGGTCTGAGGCTGAATTCCTTATGGAGACCATCTCTCTCTCAACTCGATTTTGCTCTACTGTTCTAATGTAATCACTTTAATTTTTTAGACTCCAGGAATAGTCAGCATCCATGTGACATACAATGATACAAAGAGAATCATTTCCTATCAGAAAGGGGGAAATGTTCAGGGACTCCCCTCTAAGATCTTGCAACGATTCTCCGACGTTTTACCTGCCAACTTTGCTTCAGAACCAGTCAAGTTCCTGCGATATGATGAAAGATTTAAGGATTACGCAGGATTAGAAAATGAATTCAAGTTTGATGATGACCACAAAGTTACCATTATTAAGGAGGTATAAGTGCATTGTGCGTTGTTTCTGATCCTTATAGCCTTCAGTGTTATTGTTAGTAAATTAATTAGAAAACTAATTATTCCGTGGAACTTCGATCATAATCTCTTGAGCTCGAGTACAGGTGTTTTTAGAGATCTAGCGCGTTGAGGCTTTAAAATGGGCCAAGAAGGTCTCGTCTTATAGCAAGTTCGTCCTCTACAAAGAAAAGTTTCATAGCTAAACCATGATAAAGCTCGATGGACAAACAAATTCCTTACCGAGCAATAACCAACGTGCACATTTTGTGTTTTTATCATGGCACTAGTTTGAGGTAGAGTGTTTCACGGCGATTTAGAGTGCATCCGTGACCAAGCGTTTGACTCCAAAAAAAAGCATTGCATTTGGATCAAAATTTATTATAATTTCGATAGAAAAGGAATACGTGCTACCGTTAGTAAATGAGTTGAATATTTAGGTGGTGAACTTGTTTCTTTAAGGAAACGAACTCGCAAAGGTTTAGGCGATCAACTTGAAGTTTCTGTAGGATATTTAAGACAATTAGTTTTGTGCGTTTTTATCGTTTGTTTTGTTTAGTGTAGGTCTGTTTTGTTTTGTTTTGTTTAGTTTAGTTCAATTTTGTTTAGCTTACTTAGTTTTGGTTTCATTTTTTTTGTTTTGTTTAGTTTTGTTTCCTTTCCTTTCCTTTCTTTTCCTTTTGTTTCTTTTCGTTTCCTTTCCTTCCGTTTCCGTTTCGTTTTGTTTCGTTCGTTTTTCCCTACATTAAGCCAAGTCAGTCACATCTCTATGATAGAATGCAGTTTAAACATCAAAGCAAACCGAAAGGCATGGTAAGAACAAAGTGTCTTACCGAATAACTTGACAAAATGACCCTTTTGATCAACCCGCGGCTCCTTCTCGAAGAAAAAAAATTCATTCTCGCCTCTCCCCACCAACGCAGCCATGCAATAAGTATAGGTAAGAAAATGATTTCGAGAGAACTTGGTGTCAATAAGCACGAGTAAATTTTTCAGAGACAACAAAATATCACGAGCCCGTAGGGCAAGTGAAATTTGTAGTCTTTGGAAAGTTTACAAGTGTTTATCACACAAATAGCAAGAGAAATCATGTTATTTTTTGTTAATAATGTATATGAAAAAAAAAATCACAAGAAGTCAAGACAGACGATACTTTGACAGCGTGCTCTCGCTATTTGTAATTCGCACTCGTGTTACAAACTAGTCGGCACTCGTGTTGTGGATTTGTACTCGTGTTACCTTAGAATGCACTCGTTTTCAGCCAATCAGAAGCGTGTAGTTTTTTTCATGTACATTATTAAAGAGCAAATAAGCATATCCTGCATCGTTATACTGAGCTGATTATATCTGCTACCTTTTCAGGCTATTTCAATTTCGGGAGGCCAACATACATTTTATCTGTATATAATTGAGTTGGCTGAGCTGTATAAAAAGCCCCATCCACTTAAGGTTAGTTCTACTTATCGGTTTTGGAGCGCAGTTAGCAACAAAAATGGTGGTGTTATGAAGAGGAGTCCTAGTGAAAACATAGTGATTTGTGATGGAACTTTTGAGGAGTCTGATGCTAGTAAGTAAACAGTTATGTTATTTATACAAAAAATGCAGTGATATAAACAATAGCCTCAATGGCCGTGAAAATAAGCTTTAGCAACATCGGCGTCGCGAAATTGTTTGACCCGATGAGGAGAGCATGATGGAAGGGAAGGTTGCCTTCCATCTCTCATTGAAGCTCTTTCTAATAACGATAAAAATTTACCTCTGCAAGGATTTTAAGTCATTGTAGCAAATGAAGTTAATACGTTTTATGTAATTTCCTGTTAGCTCATGATCACTTTGGCGGAAGTTCATACCCGTCGTTGTAGTAAACTAGATCTACATCAGGGCGCTGGATTTTAATACTCACTTCTCGTAGAGCTATTGATATCCTCTTCGAAATTAAGATAAACTTGAAAGAATTTGAGTCAACTTGACTAAAGCCGCTTTGAAACGTATGAATTTTTGCCTTTTCTGTGCTTAAATGTCTTCTAATTGATTTTACAACTAAAGAAAATATCAAACGAAGTCCATTAACATGCAATTCAAACTTATCAAACACAATACATCACGAACAACCTGCGACTGCTGCCTCTAACGAGGATACTGAGCTCTGGACTATGAGATAGAACCGGTTGTTGCATTAGTTTTTTATGAGGAGTATTCCAAGACGGTCTCTTTCCTTCGATATCTCCTCGTTGCTGAAGTCAATAATGATAACTGCTTCTCCTTAAATCTTTATCACAGCTCGCATACTGGTCACTGATGTGAAAAATAAGCCACCAAATAAAAACAATGCTGTGAAACTGCTATTCACGGACACAAAGCCAAACAAGCTGTATGCAATGAAAGGAATTGGATGCGGACAAGAAATCCAAACCGAAGTAAGGAGTTATCTCATTCATACAATTCAACTTTCATTCATTCATTTTAGCTTCACTCATTCATTTATCCATTCATAATTAATTATGCCCACTTCCTCACCCGCTCATTCACTCGTTCATGAATTTATTCAGTCAGTCATTCGATCTGTCCGTCATTAATTGCTTAATCAAAATTATTTCTAATTCAAAGATACTTTCCGTTTTGCAAGGAAATGTCTTCGCATGATGACGAAAGCGATATCTTTTTGCCTGAGTATTTCTGGAGCTACACCATGCTCAAACACGACAGAACCGGCTGCTATGTGGGATGTGACTACACTGGAAAAGTGACTTTGATGGAAAATTCAAAGCCCGAATATCCTAACGCTGAGATTCTATTCATCGCCAATGCACCTTAAACTGATTTACGCAGCAGAAGAATGGTGGGTGTTCCGAGTGAAGTCAGCTCACTATTTGACCATTTTGATCCGCCTGGGAAGCATAAACCATAAACATGTTTTCCGTAGCAAATATGTATCTGATAAATATTAATCAAGAGACAGCAGTTCACGTTCACCTGCTTTGATAACGTTTTATCTTCCGTCATTTTCTTCATGCCATATTCGATTTTGTTATTGAGATGATATCATCATTTAGATATAAAAATTTCAGGAAAGGAGATAAAGCACTAAAATATTAAATGAGACTACCGTCTACGTTCGTTAATCTGTTTTTAATCAAGTAAAAAAATTACTCTTATCACAAATAGTATTCAAGAATTGTTATTTCTGGCTTGTTTCTGAGACAACTGGTGTCGAATTGATCCATTGGTCGCTTCAGCTGTCAACACTTGGTTATTTCTTTGTTAAAGCAACCACAGATGGCCCAAGCTCACGTCTTGAGAAAAAGCAAGCGATTAATTCATGAAAGCGTCACGCGTTGTGTGACTCGGTGTTAACTTACTAGAAGAACCGTTGAGAATTTGAACAAGTAAGACGTGAGCTTGGGCTGCCTGTGAAACAACCTGTGGTCAGATTCTCTAATCAAAAATAGAGTATGGCCCCGTCTTTGTGTTGATACTGGTACCCAACCCGTCTCCGAATCTGGGAGAACCGTGACGGACTGAAGTCCAGTCTAAACATGACGTTAATTCAAAATTTGTCTTAGTGCAGTAAATCTGCAAATGCCAATTTATTTCTCATCATCAAACACCCTTAAAAGCCTCTGAGGTTGAATAATTATAAGTTAGAAACAAACTTTACAAGGCATTCATTAATCATTCGGTAAAAAAGACAGCTGCTTTTTTTTTAATATGGGAAACGTCGATGTCATCCAGAACAAAAGATGTATCTTTGAAAGTAACGTTCCTTATCACATTTATTTTGTGTATGGTGCAGGTATGTAGATTGTTTTGCTAGCATTTTTTTTTCCACATCTTTAGGTGTTTTGTTGAAAAAAGAAAAAACCTGAGTGAACAAACTCCGTGTTGGGCCGACTGCCAGGAAACCACTATCCCAAGCAGTTTTGCAATTAGAGGAATAAATAAACTTAAAATAATTCTGAGGTTAATGGTGCTTTTAGTTTATCCTCTTAAAGACTTGATACCTAATTCTACTGCCATCCTATCATACAAACTTTTAATTAAACAGTTCTTTTCTTTTTTTTTTCTGCCTTCATGTGAAACACCAATTCAAACATTCGTGACTTCAACAAATGCAAAGCACATATTCCTAAGATGCCAGCCAAAAATTATTCTGCAAAAAGAAAAAGAAATTGATTGTGACTTGCATAAAAAATATTCAAAATAATTGAAGAAAGCAAAACAAGAAGGCCTTTCCAGGCCACTTTGTTGACGTTCTTGCAGTGACGTTAACCCATTGTGAATGTAGCTTTCCTCTCCATTAATCAGGCTTTCGAGCGGAAACTGGTAAAAGATTTTGTCAACGCTCGTTTGAAGATATAAACAAGCTAAATTTGAGGTTTTGTGAGAAGAAGGATGAGTAGTTAGTGCTGCTGTAGAATTTCATAGTTAGCTCCTTTTGAGGAACCATGTCATTGTAAAGCAAGTCAGGCATCGGTATCGTTAAGTTAGTCGTGTTGGTATTACGATTACAGAAACGTTCAATACTGTGGTTGCAACCTCATTCCCAGGGTCTCTCTTCTTCCCTTCATTTAGAGCCAGAGAGACCCTGGAAACGAGGTTTCTGTGGTTGTAGGTTGTGCCTAAATCCTACCGGCTAGAGGTACGCACGAGGAGCACTAGTCACGGGTTTCCGAGTCGGGTGATTATCGGAAATTGTCGGCTATTGCAATATGGCGGACTTATATGTGCTACTGGTTGGAAAGATCCCCAAGATGAAATTTCTATTGTCTTCTACCTCTAGACGGTGGGATCTCAGGAAGCTTAGAAAATACTACCGGCCAGAGGTACAACTTGCATATCTAGTCAACTTTGCACAATTATTACGATGGTTTCCTTCGCATTTTACTATTTCCGCACTCCACTGAAATTAGTCTTAAACTCGTTTGAATCAAATTTTTCCAGGAATACGTATACATTTATTTATTTTTATTTGGTCTTTAAACTCAAGCTGGTAGGATCTTGGGGGCTGATAAAATATTACAGGCTAGAGGTACAGCTTGCATTCTCAGTGGACTTTGCCTACCCTAGCCTGTAGTGAAAATACTACAGGCTAGAGGTACTTTGTACGTTTAGGGTGAATTTAGCTCGTTTCATTTACTTCTTGATTTATGGAAAAAACCTTTCTAAATTCCACGTTAGTCTCATACTGTTGTGGAGTCACTCGACAACTTAACTTGGAACGCCCACATTAATGAGTTAGTAAAGAAAACCAGCAAAAAACTATACTTTCTTGTACAGCTGAAACGGGCCCGACTACCTCCTTCAGACCTAGTTCTTTTCTATCTTTCGTGTGTTCGATCTACGATAGACTACGGAGTTCCGGTTTTATGCAACGCGCTTCCGCAGTACCTTAAGAACGAGCTCATACATATCGAGAAAAGGGCACTATCGATAATTTTGCCCAGCATGAACTACAACAAAGCCTGCGAAGTTTTGGGAATAACGCCAATAACCGAACACCATAGTCAGCTATGCACTAAATTGTTTGCCGCCATAGCAGCCGACCCCAACCATAAGCTACATGGATTACTGCCACAGAAAAATAATGTTGTTTATAATTTTCGATACAATCGTCCCCTTGTTTTACCGCGCGTTCACACCAATAGGGCAAATAACACTTTCATACTCGTAATGTTCCGGCTATTCAACGCATCTTCTCATAATACATAGATTATTTCTTAAATTTTAGTTCAAGGATGAAAAAGGTTTACAAATTTAAACATTTTTACCATTATATTTAACATAGATTTATCATAGATTATTATTGTCCTTCTAAAAGTTGTAAAAGTTACTTAATTCAGCCTTCGGGCTGCGATGTGATTTAAATAAACCATCTATCTTATCTATCTATCTTGTTTTAACACCAACCAGACACCCTTTGCTTATTGTCAAATAATGCCTGCTTTAGTTTCAGCTGATTCCCTATAAAGAGTCATTTGATGCTCACAGCTTGTGTGCTGTGCTATCAAATAGCAGTGGTAAGTGGTAGGTACGCGACCAAGGAGAGAAGGTACTCTTGAAAAAAATGATTGAAGTGTAACTATAAGATTAAAATGTAATGCCAAAAAGTAAAATGAAAAGCACTCTGTAAGAAAATTTGGCAAAGTCAATTAAATAAGCAAGCTGTACTTCAAGTATTTTCTAGGCCTCCAAAGATCCTACCAGCTAGAGGTTTTTAGACTAAGTAAAAGAGAAAGAAATGTAAATGGAGTCATGTAAAAAGTGATTCCAAGGAGTGTAAGACTAATGTGGAGTGCAGAAAGTAAAATGGGCAAACTGCAGTAAAAATTGGGCAAAGTTGATTAAATATGCAAGCTGTACCTCTAACTGGAAGTCTTTTCTAAGCCTCCTGAGATCCTACTAGCTACAGGTACAATAGCAAGTTTTAAAAAATAAATGTAAATGTACTCTTGTAAAAAATGATTCCAAGGAGCGTAAGACTAATTTGGAGTGCAAAAAAGTCAAATGTGGAGCTAATCGTAATAGAAATTGAGCAAATTCAACTGGGTATGCAAGCTGTATCTCTAGCCGGTAGTGTTTTAAAAGCGCTAGCCCCTTCAGATCTTACCAGTTAAAGGTACAGGACCATATAAAAATAAATAAGTGTATGCGTATTCATGAAAAATTATGATTCAAAGAAGTGTAAGACTAATTTGGAATGCAGAAAAAGTAAAATGTGAAGCAAACTGTGGTAACAATTAGCAAAGTTGACTAAATATGAAAGCTGTACCTCTAGCCGGTAGTATTTTCAAAGCCTCATGAGATCCTACCGGCTAGAAGTACAAGACAATAGAAATTACATCCTGGCGATCTTTCCAACCAGTAGCACTACGGCAAGGGCATTATAGTGGCCATACTATTCATAAATTTTGTTTACCTTTGCAAGCGCAGATCTTAGCGGCTACGGTGTTAAGCTCAAACTCTGCTGAACAAGAAACTGAAGATCGACGAGGGTGAAAGAAACAGCCACACAAAATTGAGCGAGATTTCCTTGATTTAAACTGAGCAATGTATTTTTCACGTGTAAAGCATGTTATAATGTTCATCTCTGGTTCAATCACTTCGCTTGACTGTTGGTAAATTGCGCATGGTGTTACTGAAATAGTCCGCCATATTGCAATAGCTAACAATTTCCGATAATCACCCGACTCGGAAACTCGTCACTAGTGCTCCTCGGGAGTACCTCTAACGTGGTTGTAGGATTCTCGAATTCTCGCTCTTGTTAGCAGTAGAGTAGTTTTAGGTAAGTGTTCAGTAGGTGTTAGCAAGCAATAAAGAAAATAAATCCGAAAAACGTTCAAAACTTAATATCCCTATCTCCCCAGGTAACAGACTCGTAAGCAAGTTTCTTCCCTCTTTATTTAGCTTGGAGGTAAAAGGAAAAGCTGTAGTTTTATTACGCTTGATCATAAATTTAGAAGAGCCTGCTTAAAATTATTTCAAAAGATAGTTTTGAAGTGAACGTAAAGCGTCTGAAAACCGATTATGTCGTTGTAGTAAAAACATCATCACCAGTGGAAATTTCCCAAACTCGTTTTAAGGCCTCTCTTCCCCTCCCTTTCTCCACTCCCCTCCTCCTCCCGCATCAACCCACTGAGCGAAGGTGAGCGGGGGAATGGGGGAAGGAAAGTCGAGAAACTTCCTTCAGCACATCAGGATCAAAATACGCTTCTAGGAAAAAGGCTGGAAAGTCTTAATAATTCACGTAATATAATGGGACATATCTGGACCCTTCTCTGTTTCTTGCAAGTCAGCTTTACCGAAAGGAGTTTATTGAGACAACGTGGACCAACGTAGGTGAGTTCGAGTGTTCAATATACGTTGCAACTAAGAAGAAAAGTCATACAAATTCATCTCCAGCCAACCAGATCAAGGAATTTTAGCTCAGATTTAATCACAAAATTTCAAAGCGATTAATATGACGATGATCCAACTTGAGATGTAAGATGGCAGAGATCTTTGATTATATTATCTGCATTATATATCTAATATATTGTGGGGATAAGACCAACCACAAGAGAGAAGCAAACTTAACTCTCTGCTCAAACTCAAATGGAATTTAGGCGACACTCAACTCAAGCTCTAACTTTATCGTCCATGTCTTTCCTACGTCATGTTAAGGCAGTTGAAGAAGGTTAGATAAGAAGACGAAAATACAACGCATACGTTAATTATCAGTGAAGCATAAAACTTCCCTTTTAGCAAAACAGTATATCAAGTACTTTTGTATCACAACAAGATCAAAATGCATGGTTTGTGTCATGAAAACTTTTAACGTATACTTCGTTCGGGAAATGTCTTCTATCTTGCGATTTAGAGCTTGAATTGACGCAATCAAATTTTCAGCGTCATGCATACTTTCACCGTTCTAAAGTGCTGCATTGTAATTTCAGATCGAATTGTAAACAAACTCTCTGCCAGAAATATTTTACATAAATTCGAATTTGATTAATATAAACTGATAGATTTAGATACTTATGTGATTTATAGGCTTAGTTAGCGGTTAGAACTGAAAATCTGTTAGGACTGTTGAATATGAAATGGTCCAACAGTCTGCCTAAACACCGCTACAAAAGTATGCAGATCGAATTTTGTTTGATCGACCAAAATATTTTGTCGGGTCAGTTTTCTTTGGCTAAGTTCAGCGAGTTTCAAATTCTGTAATCAAAAATCAATTTAAAATTATAAAAATTAAACGAACTTGATACGGAGGCGATGCTGACGAGACATTAGCGGCGTCTAAACATATACCATCGGCATTGAACTTCCTTTTCAGCAATTCATGATTTAACAAAATGGCCAAAGAAAAAAAACACAGGAAGTACTTTACAGGCCATTTCATTGATTTTCTAGTAATGACGTAAACCTATTATGACTACAGCTTTCCTCTCTATTGATCAGACTTTCGAGCGGAAACTGCCAAAAGATTTTCTCAACGCCCGCTTGATGATATGAAACAAGCTAAATTTCAGGTTTTGTGAGAGGAGGGATGAGTAGTTAGTGCTTCAGTAGAATTTCATAGTTAGCTCCTTTTGGGGAATCATGTTATTAAAAAGCAAGTCAGGCATCAGTATTGTTAAGTTAGTCGTGTTGGTATTAGGTTGCAGAAACATTCAATACTGTGGTTGCAATAGATTTAGATACTTCTGTGATTTATAGGCTAAGCTAGCGGATAGCACCGAAAATCTGTCAGAACTTTTGAATGAAATGGTCCAACAGTCTGCTTAAACACCGCTAGAAAAGTACGCAGATCGAATTTTGTTTGATCGACCAAAATATTTTGTCGGGTCAGTTTTCTTTGGTTAAGTTCAGCGATCAAACCCAAATAATTTTGAACTAAATGGCGTCTGAAAACAATATTTTTAGAAGTTTGTTCAACATTTAAAAATCAATTAAATCAATCAATTAAAAATAATAAAAATTAAACGAACTTGATACGGAGGCGATGCTGACGTGACATTAGCGTCCAAACATTTACCACCAGCATTTCACTTCCTTTTCAGCAATTCAGGATTTAATAAAAAGGGAAATGATGATTTAACTAGAATATTTCTCTCGGTTGATATCTCGTTGAGTTCTCATTGCAGTCGCCGTCCTGATGTTACATAAGGTCTGTTATTGTGTCACGGAAAAAAAGAACCAGCATGTTCCCTTCTTTCAGTGACTGAAGAGGTTACTTGCTAACTACCTAGCTGTAGGTAGACACCTCTCTTTCCAGTCGGATTGATAATCGAGACTTTCGTCGTTACGGTTTACAAAACAGAGTCAAAGTGTTTTAGGTAAGTCTTGCCCATAATGCTAACTGAAATGCCTTGAACGTTAGAATTACACGAACGCCTGTCCACAGACTCTTTCAGTGGCAAACCTCTCAAAATTTAATTATAATGGGAGGGGAATAATTGAAAAGAAGAAACTATTAGCTAATTAGTTGGTTTGTTAAGGACACTAGCTAGAAGGCCAGCAAATTCTTGTAATTTTTGTACCGAAACTTTTGTATTTTAACGTAGTTTGTATTGGTTTATTTGTATTGTTTATTGTCATTTTAATCTCGTTATTGGCGTTAAGCCCAGTTTTTTACACGCGATTTCTGATTACGTATTCGCAACATTTCATTAGATTGATAGAACTTCGCATGCTAAATTAATATTACATACACAGTATTACATACCCAGATCACTGGTCTACCCTCTCCAAAACTGTATCCTTCTTCTCGCGCGTCAGGCCACTTGGCCCGAAGTAAGGTGATCTTTCGGCCAATACCAATATCGAGCCCAGGGTCCATTTGGTTCTTTCTGTTAGCAGTATGGTCGCCAAATTATTTCAATTGGGAATTTTTTTTTTTTATCGCAAAAAAGATATAGCGTCACCTTCTGAAGTTATTATGATAAAGATGAGGGATGAAAACATAGGTGAACGCAGTAAACGTGTTAATTCTTCACCGTATTTTCATAGAGGGCGAATGTCTTGTATCCTGATCACTAGTAAAATGATCATGTGAAATCAGGGAAATATCTCATTGCAGAAGAAAAATGATTCGATCGACCCGTATTTCCCAAATGAAACACAAACTAGACACGTTTTTTGTGTGGTTGCTGTATTTTGGTCACCTAGGTTTGCCCATGTGGCTTTTATCTTTGTTTTAGCTCTGCATGCAGCTGAAGAAAAAGTTCTGTTATTTAGCTTGCAAGCCCCCTGTTTATGTTTTCCAAGAAAGGCAACATTGAATTAACCTAGAGCTTGTCAGCGGTATTCCATGACGAATTGCAATTGCATTAAAAGCCAAAAAAACGCGAAGGTTTCTTGGGTTGTTTCTCTATGACCAAAACATAAAAGCTTTTTTGATGCCTAATGAATGTGTTATGAGTAAATGTTTTCTTTCAAAAGCTGATATAGATGATGACCACTTCGAAGGACGATTTAGAAGAACATCTTGAATGCTCAATTTGCCTCGAAAAGTTTACGGAGCCAAAAGCGTTGACCTGTCAACACATCTTCTGCAAACAATGCCTGGAGGGACTGGTGACTCGAGTCCGCAAACGATACAGACGATACATTATCAGGTGTCCCGTATGCAGAGAAAAAAGTCAGGTATGAAACCAGAAATTATTTAGGGAAACGGACCTTTAATGGCCAATTAACGTTGTATCGTATTGCATAACAAAAAGCCAGGAAATCAGGTCCATATTGTGCAACAATATTAATATGCAAAACTTTAAAATTGAACAATCCCTTTTAGGCACTGCACACCAAGAAACTATAAAATGACGATTCGAATAAATAAGGGGGGGAAGGTTAGTTTCATTGAGGCCTCTGTCAATATGTGGGTGGTATTGGGATGCCTCATCTTCTTCTCCAAGATTATTTCAAAATGATTATGGCCCTCCTTTGTGGTTTGAAACATTTTTCCTTTACTGTTTGCGCACGATAGTTAATGCATACTTTGAAATCAGTAGTTGTCTACTTTCTGCAGTAAGTTGATTTGAGAGAGTTTGACTACGTATCTCATTTTAATAACGTGCAATGGGTCTCGACAAAACGTTCCACAAGTTTTTTATCGAATATTTACAAAGCTATTGCACACAACAAGGTCTAAACGAAATCCTCAAGGGGCTTGCAGAAGAGCACACAATTCGCCTTTCAGCCTCTTAACAACAAAATATTATATTCTCTTTTCCTTTCCATTCACTGAAATGTCCATAATTAGTCTTGCTTCCTTTTCTCCTCAGGTACTCAATGGCGATGTCGCAAACCTTCCGTCCAACTACATTATAAATCATCTGCTGGATCTCAGACGCACAAATTCCAAGCCCTTTTGTAACAAACACGAGGACGAAATCCTCAAGCTCTTTTGCCTGAATTGTCAACAGTTGATTTGTCAAGACTGCGCTTTAATTGATCATCGCGATCACAAGTACAACTTTGCTAAAGATGTATTTCCCGCTGAGAAAGAAAAGATAGTAAATGCCATGCTGGAATCAAAAGAAAAAGTCCTTGCTTTACAAGGATCTATGGGTGCTTTTGAGGAGCAGAAAAAGAGTCTGGATCAAAACGCACGAGAGGTCGACCAGAAAATTGACGGCTTCTTTAATGAAGTAATTCAGTTCCTAAAAGGAGAAAAGCAACGCATGAAGGATGAACTTAAAGGAGAAGTAAAGACCCAGAAGGAAAACATTCATGCAGAGTTGAGTTATTTCGAAGCTTCACTCGAGTATGCAAGCAGTAGACTTGAGGTTATAGAACACCTCCTGGCTAAAGTAAGCGACGAAGATGCCCTATTGGCAAAGAACGATATGCTAAAACAACTCAGTGATATTAACAGTGTTTTGCCCCATTTACAGCCAACCCCTCAGACGATATATGACTTTGGGGCCGATCACATGTTGGATGTGATTAATAAAATGGAAGCTATTTCTTTGCATTAAACAGTGGTACACATTTACGAGGGTGGTAAATGGTTTACACGTGTCGCGTGATTAAGGCCAAAGTCAATATGTAACCATTTTAAAGAAAGGCGAGCGTGATTCGTGAATTTATTAACCAGCGTGAGACGTGATCATTGCCTCATTAAATATATGCCACCCGTGAAATCCTCAAGAGGAAGACAGATTTTAGGTTTTCCTTTTTTATTCATATGCGTGATGCGTGAATTTTTCTGAAAATCCGTGCATGAAATGGGATCAGCACAACCTTTTTGCCACCCTCATTTAAAGTATTTTATCTGTCAATTAACATAGTGTTTCATTTTCAACCATAAGGATCCAAATATTATCATGTTTTCCGTTGCCGCTCGCATTAATTTTTTTATAAAAGCAATATTTCGGTGCCTAAAACAGCGGTGCACATAGTTGCCACATTCAATGTTATTTCATGTGAAACTATAAGAATCGAAATACCATTTATATGTACTTACTGTCTGTCAAATTAAATGTTTATCAAAGTAGTATTTACTGGCAGCTATTCCGTTGCTTTAAACAGCGGTACCTGTAGTTTATCACATTATAGACTGTCTCATTTCTAACTTTAAGGATTAAATTCCCTTTTTTATATATTATCAATCACATGTTATGCAAGCAATATTTAATGATATTTCTCGTGTGTGTTTAAATATGTTGTATCGCTGAATATATGAAGAGTGTGCATCTGCGCGCTTCTAAGCAAACAAAGTTGGGTTTCAAGTTCTCGTAAATTGTATGGTATTAAACACGTTAAAAATAATCATAAGTAGACTACGATAAAAAAAGAAGGTGCTTTTTTTAAATGAGTTGCATTAATTATAGTTTTGAGCTCAGCCCTACATAGTACAGATATGCTTAGGACAAAGACGGAGTGTTTTCACCTAATCCCTTCAAGGGCGTAGCTAGAGGTGGGGGGTCCAAGGGTGCCCATGACCCCCTTTTTGTAAGCTTTTTTTGTCACACCAAGTAAAACATGGCGTAGAGGTCGACATGACAGTTTGGTGATTACTCGCCGATTGACCACTTTTCAAAAAATGCTGCCCCTCGATTACAGTTTAGGCACTACTTTCTTAAAATAACAGTACACTTCACTGTAAAATATGGAGTTACATATATCAGTATGAATCGTATATATTTCCATTTTTATCGCTGTCTTCGTTATTTTAAGGTATGACTATTTGTAAACATGAATACTAAATTGAATATACACTTTGTTTCAGAGGATGCTATATAATCCATCGAAACAAAACACTAAAAATTGCTCTCGAAACAAATTTAGAGCCCAAAAAGCCAGACTGTAGAAAAAAAGATTAGACATTCAAAAAAAAGGCTGCATCTCGTCTGGCTCTTTCTTTCTTTCACTCTCACGTCACAACTTTTGTTCAAACGGGACTACAAAGCTCGTGAAGGTATCGCTCATGACCCTTTCCCAAGACTGATAAGAACCTAGGAAGCGCTCCATGGCTGAGATGATGCTAAAAGTTATGTAGGGAAAGTTTGGTCAGCGCCACCAGGCAATCCCTTGGATATTCCATAATTTGTGAATGCGCACAGCTCATGAGTGAACGCAGCGAACTAGTGAGATGTCGAGTTGAACACAAGAGAAATGCTAACACCAAAGCCACTGAATACGTAACTTTCGATTTTTCTTTTAGTATATTGGTTTTCTTCCTCCTCTAGGAAAGTTTGAACCTCACTGCCTGTTAGCAATACAGATTTTTTAGTGTTTTAGCCGCCATAATTCGAGGAAGCTCCGACAAACAACTTGTATTGAGAATCGTAAAGGCTTTTCCGTTCATTCATCAACCTGAACGAGTGGCACCAAATGCGAGTGACGTGTCAGCAGCTGATTGGGTATATCAACACACGTGCAAAAATACGATATTTTTTCACGTATACTGTTATGGCTTTTCTCAGGGCCGGAAGTTTATGTGATAAAAGATAATTTGGTTTCATCAGCTGAGTTGATGATGTAAATTGGCCACCGTAAAAGTTCATAAAACAGACGTTTTGAGCGTTTACCCCTCGTCAGAGCGAATTGAAGAATATTAGATTGCTTGGAGTTAACTTCACAAAGGGCATTAGTTTCAAATATTTCATTTGTTATTATTATTCATTTTAATATTGAAATTGTGAATATCGGGAATAATATTACTTTTGGCAAAAGTAACGCTTACCTGTGCGATACCATTCGACCCAAGTATAGATGAATTGTGATTGTCATTAAAGTTGCCTTCGTTACGTTGCAAGAAATGGAAATGCACTTTCGTTGTTGTTGTTTTATTTTTCTGCTTTCCATTCGGTACCACTCTTTAAACAAGGACCCTTAATAGTGAGAAGATGGGATACAATTTAGTTTGGCCACAGTTACAGGGGCGTAGCCAAGATACTTCAAATGGGGGGTAGCACTAGGTCAAACATAGGGTACACACTAGATTTTTATTTCGACCTCCATGCCGTGTTTTACCTAATGCGATAAAAAAAGCTTACAAAGGGGAAGGGGGGGGGAGGGCACGAACACCCTACAGCCCTTAGGTTATGTGTCTTTTGGGTTTTCGAGGGAGATGGGAAGGACAACCTTACAAGCAAAAGAAGGAAAAGATGGAAGGTGAAAGAAGTTTATAATCGAAATCTTAAGACTTTTCCCTCTGAATTTTTTTTGGAAGGATGTCTGATATGCTTAATATCCGTGTGACGTACAGCGAAACGAAGAAACGAAGAAACTCACATCCTGTCAAAAAGGAATACGTTTTCTGGAATTTCGTGATTGATTCCAAAAAAAGACTTCTCTGTTACAGGCGAGGGGATCACATTCAAGAAACACAATGAAGATATGCTGATATTTCGCCAACATCAATGAATTGTCACGTTCAGTTGAAAATTGTGAAATTTACTATTGTAAGGAAGGAAAGAAAGACCACTGATTTGTACATTGAGGTCTTCAGAGGCTGTCTCTCTTATTTCCACCCGGTCAATTTTGCGTCAAAAATAATTTTGCCTGAAACTCTGTTAACAGAAAGACTTTACTTAGGAAAGAACTAAATTAGATTTGGTTTGATTCGAAATAATTTTCTGATTGCATTACAGGCCATAATTATTTCCCAGTCCGTAGGGACCGTCGCAACGTCTCGAAAATTGAAAAATAGGCATATTTTGTAACGTTGTAAAATATTTGATTCGCGTAGTTAAGCCACAGAATTTATATCAGATTGCTTAAAAACCTTTCTAGTTTGCCAAGAAAGTTAGAATTTGCTTTCTCAACATATTTGAAAAGGCGAATTTTAGCATATTCTGACCACTAGAAATCGCCATCAGCCGATGGCCGTAAATAACCTTGATTTAGACGCCAAGTTTTGGGATTTGGGACCTGGTTGACGATTCTAGCCTACGCAGCCGTTAAGTTTAGACCTTTATAGGCAAAAATATGCAAAAACCCCTGTACGTTTTCGATTTTTCAAAAGTTATGACCGTTTGAATCAGCACATGTACGAGCATTCGCGATTTTTTCGCCTACACCAAAATCGAACCACTGTAGCAGATTTCGTCATAAATACAGCTTATCCGCTTTGCAGCCCGGCTTCATGGCTCACTTCAGAATTTTTCTAATAACCAAATTGGTGAAATCCATGATAACTTCAACAAATAGCTATCCATCGTGATTCGTGGTATCAAAACAAATGTCGGAATTGGCCACATTTCGCGGTGAATCACCCATTTAACATCGCTGCAGAGCTGAATTTTTTCCAAAATTAGAATATAAACTCTCCATGTCTGGAAGCTGAGGGAGAAATGAAGGTTTTAGGCTTCTGAAGTGAAGAAATAATCGCTTAAATTTAGATCAAGTTCGATGTTATACTGTTCTTACAAAGGTCCGCACAAAAGAGAAGACCGCTGATAGCTTGTGCCGTACGTTGTGCCATATGGTTTTGTTTTGCATCCCAATGTAATATTTGGTCAGAAAAATTTTGGATGAAAAGAATAAATGCTTTTACCTGGAGTTTGATATCATATAATTAATAAATCAATTTCAAATATCCTGAGCTTGCTTCTCTCGGTTCCGCGTCGATTGTGTTCACAGAACAGCAACCTGTCAATAGCCGGAGAAATCTGCTACCAACGTGTTAAAAACTTGACACATGCTTCGTATGAACAGATGTTATAAGTGTTGCTTTTGGTAAATTTTCAATCGATTTCATCAAAACATTTCACTGACTACTAGATATTATAATATATTACACTATAACAACGCCGTCAGAACTTGATATCGGAAGTAAAGGTAGTTTGTATCTGTAAAGAATATTCTACACTTCCAGCCACTGTATAAGACATTGTTTACATAAGTCTACTGAGAAACACACTGACAATCACTAATCACGTCCGACAGTTTGTCTATGAGGATCTGTTTTTTGTCTCTCAATTTTACAGATGGCTCTCAACAAAACCACATTGAATTTGTGAAGTGTGTTATTGTGGTAACGTTCACAGAGGTCCTACGTATCGTAGCAGATTGGATGTGAGACTTTGATCTCTTTGTTAACTTTGTCTACCAGATCTTATCTCTCGGAATTTTCCTGGACGCATTGGATATCTTCCTCCTCATCCAGTGATATCCCGATCACACCCTGATCTTTTCGCCGCATTGCTGCTAGCCGGAAGAAAAAGCTCTGAACTTGGCTCTTTGTCAGCCACTGTTCTCTAGTGAACAAACGTGCATTTGATTCATTTTCCGCATTTCGCATGTCCACTGCAATTTGGGCGGGGTCGGCCTTTCGCCCAGTTCTTTCTCCAAGTGTAAACCGTGCCGTTAGGTATTCTTTTACCTTCTCTGAAAATCTAACGCTGCCTCTTGGTTTGCTTACGGCCCATCCTGTTCGTAAAGACAAGTGGGGCGAAGTATCCACGGGAGCAGTGAGTGGTGTACTAGAATCTAACGAACAGCTCGAACACTCGATACCAGCGGTATCTAT